CCATCTTTCCCCATATCTCCCATCTCTCCCCACCTCTCAGGCGGTCAACCTCTGCCGCGCCAAGGGCGTGAAGCTGATGACGGCGCTGCAGCGGCGGTTCGACCCGAACTTCTCCCGCGTCAAGCGCTCTATCGCCGAGGTGCTACTAATAATATAATAATAATATAATAATAATATAATAATAGCACTTCTCCCGCGTGAAGCGATCGATCGCCGAGATGCAAGACTAGCACGAAGGGGTGGTACTAAGTAGTGGTACTCACACCTTCTCCCGCCGGGGGAAGCGCTCGGTCGCCGAGGTGCAAGACTAGTACGAAGGGGTGGTACTAAGTAGTGGTACTCACACCTTCTCCCGCCGGGGGAAGCGCTCGGTCGCCGAGGTGCGAGGAGGGGGAGGGGAGGGGAGGGGAGAGGGGAGAGGAGAGGAGAGGAGGGCGGAGGAGGAGGAAGGGAGAGGGTAGAGGAGAGGAGAGGCGGGCGGAGGAGGCGCCCGTTCTCCGCGCGCCTGCCACAGCCCCTCGTCTCGGAGCATCGCTCAAGGGCGCAGCGTCACGGCGGCGGGCGGTGGGCGATGGGCGGCTGCAGAGGCCACACTGCAGGGGGTGAGAGGGAGGCGGGAGAGCGAGACGACGGTGCTCATCCTCCTCATTGCTGGTCTTGCTGTTCTTATGCCCCCCTCCTGCTGCTAGGGCACCATCGGCGAGACGATCGTGGTGAAGCTCTGCTCGCGCGACCCCATATCTCCCCCATATCTCCTTCATATCTCCCCCATATCTCGCAAGGTGAAGCTCTGCTCGCGCGACCCCGCGCCGCCGCCGCTCAAGTACGTGCAGGGCGGCGGCGGCATCTTCAAGGACATGGCGATCCACGACCTCGAGCTGGCGCCTGCCCGGGTGTCTTTCTGTTTGTCGCCACTGTGTTTCTCTTTTTCCCAGGCGATCCACGACCTCGACATGGCCCGCTTCCTGATGGCGTCGGAGCCCGTCGCCGTCCTCGCCTCGGGGTCGTGCCAGGCGTGGCGGGCCTAGACACTTCCTAGACACTTCCTAGACACTTCCTAGACACTTCCTGCCTCGGGGGCGTGCCAGGCGTGGCGGGCCTAGACACTTCCTAGACACTTCCTAGACACTTCCTAGACACTTCCTAGACACTTCCTAGACACTTCCTAGACACTTCCTAGACACCTCCTAGACACTTCCTAGACACTTCCTGCCTCGGGGGCGTGCTAGGCGGCGGCACCACACGCACTTGCAGGACACACGCTTGCGGGACATGCGTGCGGGACAACGGCGGCACTTTTGCGGTGCAGAGACACGCACTTGCACTTGCGGTGCACAGGCGCACACTTGCGGTGCACAGGCGCACACTTGCGGTGCACAGGCGCACACTTGCGGTGCACAGGCGCACACTTGCGGTGCACAGGCGCACAATTGCGGTGCACAGGCGCACACTTGCGGTGCACAGGCGCACACTTGCGGTGCACAGGCGCACACTTGTTGTGGTGCACACGGCACACTTGCGGTGCACACACCGCACTTGCACAGCTGCGGGGGCGCTTGCGAGACGGTTCCGACGCCTCGAGACGTGCGCCCGCTCGAGGGCCGGTATCTCCCCCCAATCTCCCCCCAATCTCCCCCCAATCTCCCCCCCCCCCCAATCTCCCCAAATCGCCCCAGGTCTCGCCCGAGATCAGCGCGCTCGAAGGGCCCGAGGCGTCCCGACACGGCCGACGGCACTGGCTAGTCAGGAGCGCCCGCCAACTCTGCCGCATGACTCTGACAGGCGTTCGACACGGCCAACGTCATGGTTCGCTTCGCAAACGGCAAGGACGCGATCATCGACGTGTGCCGCCAGGCGCCGTACCGCACCGCCCACGGGGGCTGAACCCACGCTGGGTTCGAGACTCTGGAGGTATGGGACCAGGCGCCGTACGGGTACGACCAGCGCGCCGAGGTGCTCGGCACAAAGGGCATGATGATGACTGACAACATGCACCCCTCCACCGCTCGCATCCTCTCGGACAAGTTTTGCGGCGCCCTCGCCGCCAGGCGGCGCGCTTCCGCCCCAGTCCTCCACTGCCCGTGAGCCAATCGTGGGTCGTGACAGGCCACGCCGACATGCCGTACGACTTCTTCATGTCGCGCTACAAGGAGGCGTACAAGCAGGAGACGCTCGCCTTCGTGCGGGCGCTGCGGCGGGACGAGCCAGCGCCGTGCTCCGGCCGCGACGGGCTGGTGGCGCTGATCATGGCCATCGGGGCGGGCATCTCTGCAGAGGAAGGGCGGTGGGTCCGGTTCGAGGAGGTGAGATCTCCCCCATATCTCCCCACGCCTCCCCACACCTCCCCACACCTCCCCGTTCTCCCCATCTCCCCACACCTCCCCACACCTCCCCACACCTCCCGGTATCTCCCCATATCTCCCGTCGCTGACCGCGCGGTGCCCGCCCCTGCGCCAGGTGCTGCAGCGCGAGGGCATCGGAGGCATGAGGGTGTCGGAGGAGGGGGGCGAGACGGCAGGCGGCGGCGCCGGCTGGATCAGCACCATGCTCGGATCGGTCACGCCGTCGGCGAGATCTAGCCGAGATCTAGCCGAGATCTAGCCGAGATCTAGCCGAGATCTAGCCGAGATCTAGCACCATGCTCAGATCTGTCATGCCGCCGGCGAGATATAGCCGAGATACAGCCGAGTAGGCGACGGCCGGCAAGGAGGACGCCTAAAAAAGAAGTGGCGCCGCCTTTCTTTTTCTAGGCGAACCCGCGCAAGGAGGACGACCTGCGCGAGATCTTCCTGCTCTTCGACACGGACGACGACGACTTGCTCACCGAGAAGGAGGTTGGCGAGGCGACCAAGCTGCTGTGCAAGGACGGCGCGTGCCCCATCTACACCGCGGAGGAGGTGCACAGCATGGTGCGGGGCGTCGACTCGGACCGCGACGGGCGGATCACCTTCGACGAGTTCCTCGCGCTGTGGCGCAGGGCCGGCAACATCGAGGGCGCCGCCGAGGAGGCGAACCCGTTCGCCAAGCTGCTCGCGCCGCTCCTGAAGTGATGATTCTGGCGGGGCCGGAAAAGGAGGAAGCGTTGCGGGACAGTGAGTGTGTGGTGCGGTTGTGCGTGTTTGTGAGAGGATGAAAAGAACGGTAGTACCCGTTCCCCCGTCCACCTGTACCCCGCCTTTCCCTTTGCCACCAGGCAAGCCATGGCACTTCCCTCGTCCGCTTGCGCTTGCCGCGCCGCATTGCGCCCAACTATGCCGCCGCGAGCTGCACACCTAGACCCCCGCGACGCCTATTGCTCACGGAACCCGCCGCCCCCTCACCACCCCTACCTTGCGTTGCGCATCGCCACACGAGCGGCTGTACCCCCTCGGCCTCGCAACGCCTGTCCACTCCCGCTCGCAGGTACAGCCGCTGCCATCGAGGAAGCCGCGAGACGCGTCCGCTGCTGCCCATTCCCCACCCTTGTCCCGCGCGCGACCGCCCTCCCTCTCTTCTGGCAAGAGAGCGACCCGCTCTCGCTTGCTCGCCAATCGCCGCCCGGCTCCAGTCCGAGCGCCGAGGACGCGAGAGAGCGTGCCGGCGGCCTCGTCTCGACGCTCACGCCGCGGCGTGCTGCCCGTAGGCGCGGCTCTCCTCTCTCCGGCTCGCTCTCTCTTCCCATTCAGCATGCTCGCGCAACTTTCTGGCTGTAAAGCGCCCGCCATGTGCTCACGCTGTTGCGCCGTCGACGTCGCCGAACCCTCGCCTCCAACCCCTATCACATCAACACTTCCCGCGGACCTGCTCGCGCGCATCGTCTCCCTCTGTGACAGTCCGCTGGACATCGTGCGCACCTCAGCCGTCTCACACCTCTTCCGTGACTCAGTCACTGAGGATGGCATTCGCTTGCGCGCCCAAGAGCGTGGCTACGAGGCGCTGGCGCCGGCGGAGGGTGAGAGGTGCCGTAGTAGTGGTAGCAGTATGCAACTCATCGAAATGAAGCGACGCCGCAACCAACGCGAAGCTCTAGGCTGTAGGCTCCCAAAATACCTGGGGCGGGTTATCGGCTCAAAGTCTTGAGATGCTGACAGGTGCCCTCTACAGCGGCTCTGCTTGTTTGCGATGCTGCGTGAGTCAAACCAACGGGTGAGGATGGGCGCCGGCAACTCACACAGCGTATTCATCGACAACGAGGGACGGCTCTTGACATGCGGCAAGGCCAAGCCCTGGCAACCAGCACTCCTCGGGCACCCGAGGCCAGCCCCTCACGAGAGTGTGATACAGATAATGATCCCGACCCGAGTGCCTTCCCTGCTCGGCGGTGAGCGGGCGGTGACTTTGGCGGTGGGAGCGAAGCACAGCATCGCAATCACTACGAGCGGCGCCCTGTGGAGCTGGGGCGACGGAAAGCTTGGGACCATTGGCCACGACGAGTACACGGACTCCATGGAGCCCACAAAGATCGCGGGCTTTGCGGGGCGGCGAGTCGTCGCTGCATCGGCAGGCGACGCTCACAACCTCGCTATCACCGCCGACGCCTCTGCCTGGAGTTGGGGACGTGGCTACTCTGGGCGCTTGGGTCATGGCGGCGGAGAGGATCAGCTTCGACCCAAGAGGATCGAAGCTCTGGCAGCACAGCGCATCATCGCGGTGGCAGCAGGAGGCGACCATTGCCTCGCCGTCACGGCGGACGGCAAGGTTTATAGCTGGGGTCGCGGGGAGTGTGGGCAGCTGGGCCACGGCAAGAGGTTGAGCGAGCGAATTCCCGACACCGAGCCGCTGCCAAGGCGGATCATGTCCCTGCGCAAGCAGCGCGTCATCGCGGTCGCGGCAGGCGGCCTTCATAGCCTCGCCGTCACCGCCGACGGCCTAGTCTGGAGCTGGGGCGCAGCGGGTGAGGGCAAGTTGGGCCACGGAACTGAGGACAATCAGATGCGACCGAAGAAGATAAAGGAGCTGACAGGGCAACGCATCGTCGCTGTGGCGGCGGGGCACTACCATTCCTTCGCACTCTCCGCGGATGGCATCCTTTGGGGCTGGGGCCGTGGGTATGGCGGCCAACTGGGACACGGCGACTTGGTCATCCCGAGAAACGGCCTCAAGCTTCCGCGGAGGGTCGAGGCATTTGCGGGGCGGCGCGTGGTCGCTGTGACGGCAGCAGGCAACCACAGCCTCGCACAAACCTCAGACGGTGCCTTCTGGGGGTGGGGCGAGGGGGACAACTTTGCCGTAGGCCAGGGGGAGGACACGTCTAATATCGACGCGCCTAGGCAGATCGAGATAGTGTAACGAGTAGTGTGTAGGACGCAAGAGACGCTGAACAATAAAAACAAAGCGCTCCGATAAACTCCGAAGCGAGATGGTTCGTACGGCTTTACAGGATCCCCCCGCGCCCTGCACGATCTTCCCCATCGGAGGCCCGCGTCTCTACTGCGTCTGGGGGGGCGACCCCCCCATCTTTGTTTACCGAATGCGTCTCTGGATTAGAGTGCGTCTAGTAGGTGCCCTACTTAGACGCTCGCTGTCCTCGGTATGCTCGAGCATCCTAAGATGCGCGAGTCCATTAGTTGCTCCGCGCATCCCGAATTGCTCGCGGCATCCCCGATTGGCGTTGCTGTCTCAAAAGACGCGCCGTGCATACTGTGAACAGCGCGTGTCTCAGAAGACGCGCGCATATTTTGAACAGCGTGTGTGGATCTCAAGAAATACACGCACGTATAAAAAGAAAACGAAAGCTGGTGTGGCGAGCGCTGCGCGGCGGGCCGTGCCCCCGGCTGTGCGCCGCGGCCGCTGCACTACTACTCGCACAGTCGCGGCGCGCCCACCCGAGCACTCGTGGGTGGGCGCCCTATAGCCTCTCCGCGCAACGTGCTGGGGCACGGACAGCGGCTCTCACGTCTGGCAGCGGCAGCAGGCCCACCGCTGCACCGACTCACACTGAACAGCACGCACAGGACACAGTCACAGAACACTGCCCCTGACGCCACTCACGGCCATGGGCTACTCAGACTTGGACACAGGCACCTCGCTTAGCACTCCATGCACGAGGCTGCCGGTTGCCGTCACCAGCGCCGCTTCCTGCCCAGATCAAACACCTGCGACGTGGCGGAGGCGATGAGCGGCCCGCGGTCGCCGTGAGAGAGCGCGTGGCGGGCGACGGCTCACCGATCGAGCGGAAGCGGTCACTGTGGGGGCGGCGGCGAGGCGGGCAAGCCACCCGCAGATCCCCAGAAGGACGCCGTCGCGAGGTCGAGGGCGGGCGGCGGGGACGGCGAGGGTGAGGCGCGAGGCGCGAGGCGGTGTTGGGGCGGCGGTGGCGCGGGCGGCGGCGGTCACGGAGCGGGGGCGAGAGGGTGGTGGCGAGCAAGACACCCGCGCGCGCTGCGCGGTCGCCGTTCTGACTCACATGCCTGCGGACAGCGCCGACGGGTGGTGAGGAGGGCGGCGAGCCGGCGGGCACGGTGTGCGCGCGGTCGCCGCGCGCTGGTGGGCGACAGCTCACCGAGCGAGGAGCGAGAGCAGGAGCGAGTCGGGATGCCCGGTCCCTCAAATCGCCAAGTCAAACAAGAAAAACACGTTATGGCCGACTCTCGGAAGTACGCTGTCTCTTCCGTGTTAGGCGCACGCCCACGCCCTCGGCCTCGAACTGGCCCCGCTACCTGCCGCGCAAACTGGTTGGTGGGGGGGGGAGCGGCGTCGCCGTCGGAGCGACGTAAGCAGTGCATGCAACTTTGCGCCCAGAGCTCGTGGCGCAAGCAGATGCATGCGCGGTGCTGAGAACCTGGTTCTCCAGGAGGGGCAGGCCGCGAGGAGAGACCTCACGCGAGCACTCAAGGCAGGGCCCCCAGGGGGTGCCGAGAGATCACAGCCTTTTCGATTTCGTCTGGATTTCGTGCTCCCTGCTCCCCCCTCGGTGCCCGGTGCACCCGACACACGGTGTCTCCTGAGACGCTTCCCTGTCCAAGTATAGTAAAATGTGATCTAGTATGCAATTGCCATCTCAGAACAGCTGTGCATCTATAGATGCTTGTGGCGTCTAAGATGGAACGCGTAACAAAAGACACGGCGCGGCCATCTCCAGGACAGCCGTCGCATCCTAGAATGCCCTGTGTACCCGAGACACATGGTATCTTTGAGATGAAAAGTGCGTCCTAGAATGCGTTTTTGCATTCTAGGACGCATCGGTAAACAAAGATGGGGGGGTCGCCCCCCCAGACGCTGGGGCAGTGGCAGCAGGCCCCTCGCGCCACGTGTACGTGTGAATCTCATGTGAACGAACAGACAGTCATCTCGAGCGCGACCCTGCAGTGAGAGGGAGAGTGAGAGGAGAGATAGTCAGAGGGAGAGGAGAGAGGGATAGCAGAGGGAGAGGGAGAGGGAGGGGGAGGGAGAGGGAGAGTGAGAGGAGAGAGGGTAAGAGGTAGAGTAAGAGGGAGAGAGGAGAGGGAGAGGGAGAGGGAGAGGGAGTAAGAGGGAGAGGAGAGAGTTAGAGGGAGAGGAGAGAGGGAGAGGAGAGAGGGAGAGGGAGAGTTATAGTGAGAGGGAGAGGGAGAGGGAGAGGAGAGAGAGAGCAGAGGGAGAGGGAGAGGAGAGCAAGAGGAAGAGGGAGAAGAGGGAGAGGGAGAGGGAGAGTAAGAGAGAGAGGGAGAGGGAGAGTAAGAGGGAGAGAAAGAGGGAGAGTGAGAATAGAGAGAGGGAGAGGGAGAGGGAGAGTAAGAGGGAGAGGGAGAGGGAGAGTGAGAGTGAGAGGGAGAGGGAGAGGGAGAGGGAGAGCTCGCCCTCCATGCGGCGCACCATTGGGGGCGCTGCGGACTATTAGGCCTCGTCGCACATCGCGCGCATTCTGGATTGTCTTATTTATCTGAGGTTAAAATATCCATTTGAAAATGCTTGCCACATCTCGGGGATGGCGACCCCAATTCAGCCATCCTGAGATGCAGCGCCCTCCGGCCAGCATCTCAGGATGTAATGGCTCAATCAGGGATGTCGTGGACATCTTTGGTTGCCTCTCAGGCATCCCAAGTCCCAAGATGCATGAAGCAATTCAGGATGCGCGAAGCAATTCAGGATGCGCGCGCATCCTGAATTGCTTCATGCATCTTCGGATGCTCGAGGCAATCGAAATTAGAATGGAGATCGTATCGGGCAATTTCAGATGCCTCAGCATCTCAAATTGCGGGTTCCCCGCCCCTGACGTCCTCAACTCACGGTCCTTCCCCGCCGTACCTTACCGCAGGAGGTCATGAGGGTCGATGGGAGTGCCAACCCGCCCACAATGCCTAAAAACCCAGCCCAGTAGGCTATAAAGCCGTATGTGTTGTGTAGGGTTACCTAGAAGACCAAGTCCCCGCTTCGGCCATCCAGTCGTGAGGCCAGTCGTACCTAGAAGACCTGTACTCAGCTCTCAGCCACTGCTTCGACATGTGTCGTCGAGCACTACCATCTACGGCAACCCGACCCTGGGCGACCGCCGCTCGCTACATACGGCATTCTGACATGTCATTCCACAACCACACACGTCATCAGACGCGCAAAGTCCTGACAGTCGCGACGTCGCTCTCTGTGACCACGTCCGCCTGCACGGCAGCCGCGGCGCGGGCGCACGACGCGCCTCGACTGGGCGCCTTCGGGCCGCTGCCTTCCGCAGCTGCCGTCAGCTCCGTCTCGCCCCGCCCCGCCGCCTCCTCCTGCTGCCGCAACGCGCCTCCGGCGCTCTGCTCGGTGCGTCGCGCCCGCAGAGGGCCTCCCACGCCCTCGCTGCTCGAGCGCGCGCAGAGCAGCAGCAAGCGACCTGGAGACGCTCGAGAGGTGACCCGAAGTGACCCGAGGTGACCCGAGGTCACCCGAGGTGACCCGAGGTGACCCGAGGTGACCCGAAGTGAGCCGAAGTGAGCCGAGGGGAGCCGAGGGGGGCCGAGGGGAGCCGAGGGGAGCCGACGGGGCCGAGGGGAGCCGAGGGGAGCCGCAAGGAGCTGCAGGCGACCTGCGAGGGCAAGCGAGAGCGCATGCAACGCCGCCATGATCGCGGCGAACGACTGCAGCGCGCCGAGAGCCGCCCCCGCCGTCGTCAGCTCTGCCGCCCCCGCTGCCGATGCCGCGAAGACCGCTTCCGACCTCTCTGCAGGCGTCTCTGCCGGTGCCTCCGTCGAAGGGGCGTCGGACAACGCCGCCGCGTGGACATCCATCAGCAGGCCCATCAGCGCGGCGGAGAGGGCCTGGGCGGCGGGCAGTGAGATTCGCCGAGATTCGCCGAGATT